CCCAGCGGCTTCATCAGGCGCTTCTCGAGCTCCTGCCTCGCTGCTGGCACATTCGCTAGCGCCCTGGATTTCTTCACCGCGATCTCTAGGTCGGCCTCGCCGAGCAGTACCTTGAGGTGCCTGGCCGCCAGCGTGAGGTCATTGACTGTCCGCTGGAAGCCGCCCACCCTCTTCAGGATGATGTCATCCACGACCACCGACATCGCCAGCGTGGGAACCAGCTCCTGGAGCTTGTCCAGCGGCTCCAGCAGCAGCATCTTGAGCATGAGCGTCGCCAGCCCGTCTCCAGGCAGCACCGCCTGCTCGGTGCAGATGGCGTTGCTGACGGCTTCGTCCCGCGCCAGCCACCTGGGCGCTCGGTACAAACTCACCTGCAGCTTGAGCTGCCAGAGCGGGAAGCCCGTCCGCTGGGCGGCCTGGATGAGGCGCCCATGCTGCACCTGCTCGTACGCCTTGAGCAGGTCCAGGAGGATGAGGGCCGCGACCCAGCTGGATGCATCGCCAGCTTCGCGCCCCTTCGCTGTCGCCCACTCGCACTCCACGGCCTGCTGCCAGACTGCCCTCTCGCAGCCTCTGCCGCGCGCAGCCCAGAAGAAAGGTCGATCATTCCTGCGCTCCCACTCCTCCGCCAGGGGCTTGCGTAGCCTCGTCTGCACCCTAGCGAGGACGTGCACGATGGCCACGGGGCGCACGCCGCCCAGCCTCTTGGCCAAGAACACGATATTGCTCTGGATCTGCGGCCACTCCGCCGCCTGCTCGACCGCCACCACGATGTCGATGAGGGTCTCTATCCCCTCGTCGCTGAGCTCCAGCAGCTGCCTCGGCTTGATCGCCTCGAATCCCGTGGCCGTGCCCTTCCTGAAGGACCTCAGGACTGCCCGCATCACCTCGCAGCTGGGCCTGGGGGGGCGCTCACCTAGATCGGTCGGCCACTCCAACTCGGCGTGGCTGCACTGCACCCTCCAGATCTTGCTCCACTCCTTCTCTAGGTCGTCCAGCTCCTTGCTCAGGCTGGCGGGTCCAGCATCGATGCTGCAGTCGCTGCCCTGCCAGCCCACCGCCACTCGCGTGACCGCGTGGAGCCCTGCCGCTCCTCCTGTGAGCTGCTTGCCAACCCACTCGTCGAACTGCCTGCCCCTCTCGTCGACATCGCGCTTGGCGAGGTGACTGGCGTGCTGCTTCGCGCGGTCGGCCAGTCTCTCGAGCAGTAGGGGGTGCCAGCACGCCAGGCCCCCATGCTGCAGCATCCTCAGCCAGCGCCCAGCCTCCATGCTGCAGTAGGTGCCGCCTCCTTCCCCTGAGCGGGCCTCCTCGTCCTGCTGCAACTTCCTGACTCTCTTCGGGACCGCCGCCACCAGCTGGGGCAAGTAGCAGATCGCGTCGACCCTAGCCCTTGGCGCTTTCAGCTGCGCCATGGCTCCCAGCGCGTGGGCCACCCTGGCCATCCACGCTGCCTCTGGCGTGAGCCTCGGCGACCTGGGGTCCTGCACCCCGCTGCGCTTGACCATCTTGGTGGAGAAGCCGTCCGCTCTACCAACGTACATGGCCCTCTGCTCCTCCAGCTGGTATACGTCGACCCACTCGTCCTCCGCGCACCCCAGGAAGGTAGCGAAGGCGGCTGCGAGGGCTCCCTTAGCCCCCTCCGCCGCGGCGCCCTGGGCCCGCACGTCCTGCTGCAGGTGCTGGGCCTGCCCCGCCGCAGAGGCTGCCTGCCTCTTCTCGACCCAGAGGCTGGGGGGCCTCACGTGCACTCCTTCAGCCGCTTCAACCTGAAGGGGACTACCCGCGATTCCGTACGGTGCCTGGCTCGGATGTGCACTGCCAGTCCCAGCATGGGGAGGAATGTCCGCCTGCTCCTCCTGCGCAGCGCTGCCCGCGGCACTGCTGCCCCCTCTCCCCGCTGCGTCGGCTCCATGCGCTCCTGGCGCCTGAGCCCCGCGGTGCGCTGGCTGGACCTCGCCGCGTGGTGCTGCGCCGTGCCCTTCATCGCCATCCTCCTGCCGTAGCCCGCAGCTGTCGAGGAAGCTCTTCCACTCCGCGCCTTGCTGGGCGCGGCACCTCATCCGCTTCTCGTCCGTCACGCAGGAAGGCGGCGCAGGTGCGGTCGGGATCACGCTGCCTTGGGGTCCCCCTCTCTCCGCCGCAGGCACCTCCTCATCTCCCTTGCCCTTCACTGGGCTGGGAAGCTCCTGGCCTGCTCTAGCTGCGCGCTGCCCTGCTGCTCCACCGCTGCTGCTGGGCTGAGAGGCCTCCTCCTCAGCGGCAGAGGTCGCCTGCCCCTTCTCGACCCAGAGGCTGGGCGGCCTCACGTGCACTCCTTCAGCCGCATCAACCTGAAAGGGCCAACCTGCGATTCCGTACAGTGCCTGGCTCGGAGGTGCACTGCCAGTCCCAGCATGGGGAGGGATGTCCGCCCGCGCCTCATGCGCAGCGCTGCCCGCAGCGCTGCTGCCTCCTTTGTCCGCTGCGTCGGTGCCCTGCGCTCCTGGCGCCAGGGCCCCGAGGTGCGCTGGCTGGCCCTCAACGCCTGGTGCAGCGCCGTGCCCTTCCGCGCCAACTTCTCGCCGTAGCCCGCAGCTGCCGAGGGTGCTCTGCCACTCCTCGCCATGCTGGACGCAGCACCTCATCAGATTCACGTCCGTCACGCAGGACGGCGGCGCAGGTGCGATCGGGAGCACGCTGCTTAGCGGTCCCCATCTCTCCGCCGCAGCCACCCCCTCATCCCCCTTGCCCCTCACTGGCCTGGGAAGCTCCTGGCCTGCTCTAGCTGCGCGCTGCCCTGCTGCGCCACCACTGCTGCTGGGCTGAGGGGCCTCCACCTCAGCACGTGGGGTGCTCCTCGCGGCGGCCTCGCCCTCGAACCTCAGCACCGAGGCGAGCTGCTCCTGCACCCTCAGCCTGGCTTGCCTCCAGCTGCTGCCGTGGTCTCTCTCACAGCACCCTTGTGGTCGAACCTCAGGAAAGGTCCGCGGCTTCTGGACCAGCCTGAAGCGCTCCTCCTCTTGCTGCCTGCGGATCTCGAGAATCACCGCCGAGTGCGGGTACACTGGCGAGGCCTCCACCACCCGCACACCCAGCGCAGCCAGTCCCTTGGACACCAGGAAGAAGTCGATGGTCCTCCCCGACGCTGCGCACGTGGGCGAGGCAGGCCTGACCACCTTGCCATCGAACATGTCGGGCACCCCGCCTGCCTGCAGCTCTTCCTCCGTGAGGTTCCAATCGCCGCCCACCACGAAGTCCCTGCGGCACTGCCTCAACCTCCTTGCCAGCCTCCTGAGGCTGGACACGTTGCTATCGTTGAGGCCGACCCCCGCCTCCAGGTAGAGGTTGGCGAGCAGGAAGCCGCTGCGCAGCACGCCCGACACCCGACACAGGTGCACTCGCCCAGCCACCAGCACCGCTGCCTGCTGGTCCTGCACCTCCGCCATGCCGTGGCTCCTCCTCACCATGGTGAGGAGTCCTCCCGTGCTGAGGCCTCCTGCCGCTGACGGCACCGCGGGCGTGCCTCTCGCCCGCCACCCTTGGCTTCGAAGCTGCGCCTCCGCATCACTGCTCCTTCCCTCCAGGAGCCTCGTCTCCTGGACCAGCATGGCGTCGCAGTCCTGCACCTCGCTCACCGCCATGCACTTGCTCAGGTTGCAGAACGCATTGACGTTGACCGTGCAGATCCTCCAGACCCCACACTTCATGCTAGGACTCCTCCTCCATCTGCTTGACCTCCGTCCGCATCTTCTTGGCGTCACCCAGCAGCTCCTCGGCTGCTTCCCTCTTGGCGGGGTCCTCAATCCCGCACGCGATGTCCTGCCACACCTGCTGCGCCGCCTGCGACACGCCAGGCCCCTCCTCCTTGGGAGCGCCCACCTGCTGCGCCGCTGCTGGCACCGCCGAAGGCACGGGGACCGCCGCAGCCACAGGCGCACGGGGGGGCGCCCCCGCAGCGGCGGCAGCGCCAGGCAAGCCACTGATCTCCGCCAGCACCTTCCCGAGCTTCGCGATCTCGTCCCTCGACAAGCCGCCGATCGCCTCCTGAATCGACTCCAGGGAGGCCGCTGGTGCTGCTCTCGGCTCGGCGGCTGCTGCCGCCGCCTCAGCCTCCTCGGCCGCCATCCTGGCGCGCTGAGCCGCCAGCGCCTCACGTGCCTTGGCCGCCGCCTCGTCGCACTCCTTCCGCAGCAGCACCAACTTGTCCGCGAGGCTGGCCGACTCGTTGATGGCCGCCACCGCCTTGGCCTTCGCCTGCTCCAGCTGGCCCTCCATCTTCTTGACCTGCACGACCTTGGCGTCCGCCAGCACCTGGGCCGCCTTGACCGTCTTGTCCTTGGACAGCTCGGCCCCCAGTCCGCCCTCACGCAGCCTCCGTGCCTGCAGCAGCTGCTCGCGGACCTTCGGGGCCAGGAGCGCGGCAGCGAGGGCGAAGTCGGCCTCTGCCATGCACACGAAGCCACAGCGCTGCTCCTCGCTGAGCACCACGGCGCCCCCAGCGTCACGGCCGCCACCTTCTCCACCTCGCCACCACGGGGCACGAGTGGGAGGCTTGCCACCGCCTGCCCCACGCCCGCCGCGCCCGCCGCCAGCGCCGCCAGGAGCACCACCACCGCCACCGCCTGCAGTCCACCCACGTAGCGGAGGAAAGGCGCCCAGCTGCCGCGGCGCTGGCCACCCCGCAGGTTGGCACCCCTTGCGACAGCACGTCCTCTCGGCGAAGTTGTAGTAGTCGCACACCGAGCACTTCCACTTCGCAGGCCACGCCGCGCGGCCGCCTCCCCCACGCCCAGCACCCACGCCGCCGCTCCCCGCCATGGCGCGCGTGAGTTTGGAAGGAGGCCGCCCGACTGCCAGAGTGCACACACTCTTGCCTGCGCACGGTAGTGCGATCCAGTGAAGCACGGAGGCTGAAAGCCCCCCGAGCAACCCATCTTGAGGAGAAGGAGGGAGGAGGAGGAGGAGGAGGAGGAGGAGGAGGAAAAGGAGGAGGGGGGGGGGTCGGCGTCGTGCCAGTCCCTCGGCTTCGACGGGCTGGACGCCAGCCCGCTCGGGCGCCAGGCCGGGCCGTGCTCGGCGGGCGGGCGCGGGCGGGGCACCGCGAGGGGCTGCGCGGCCTGCCGCTGCATCCGGCTGCGCTGCGCCTCGGGAGGCCCGAAAGGGGCACGCCAAGTACGTTCTGGAGTTCGTCGAGGCGCCGAGGGTCGGGTGGGCAATGCGGGATGGCGATTCATAAAAAAATGGGCGAGAACGATTAAAACCAATAGTTTCCTGCTATGTCTGCACAGCTTTCTGACTGGAGGAGAGCGATTCAACAAATAGTTCTCCAGCCCGCGGCCGGTTTCTTCTAATCGTCATCCCGGGCGCCGCCGAGTGAACACGACCCCCGGTCATTTATTAATCGTCATCCTCCATTACGGCAGGTCCGTGTCGTGTCGAGCCCGGCGTTGGTTCCCGACACCGCGGGGACCGTTCAACCTTGAACGATCGGCCGCTCCCGAAACGTCAGGGTCGTTCAACATCGACCGATTATAGGCCGCCGCCGGCGTTCACCATGGAACGCCGGCGGCGGAGACGCCGCCGGTCGACACGACGCGAACCTACCGCAGCAATGGGGGGTGACCTTTGTGGGCCCCAGAAACGGCAGGGCCGTTTTTTCACCGTTTCCAAAAGAATGTCCCTTAAAAATGAAAACAGCAAAAAAAAAACGGCGACCGGAAACGGCAACAAAAACGGCTCCAGGATTGGAACCGGAGCCGGAACCAGTCAAAAAGCGGCGACGGAACTGGAAAAAAAACGTAATCGGAACCGGCAGAAAAACGGCAAAACGGAACGGGTAAGAAACAACGGCCCTGTCGTTTCCAGGGCCCGTGTCCAGTCGCCGTTTTTTTTGCCGTTTCCGTTTTCAAGGGGCAATTTTTTTCTCGGAAGCGGTGAAACAAACGGCCCTGCCGCTTCTGGGGCCCACCAAGGGGTGACCCACATGGGTGGTGAGGAAGAGGGCCGCAAAGGGGCCCTGTCGGGCCCCGTTTGCTCGGAGCCAGCAGGGGCCCCAGAGGGGCCCCAACGGGCTCCTTGAGCTATGTTGTTCCTATCCTGCTTGAGGGCCACATCCCAGAAATAATTTCGAGCACCCAGAAAAGTGTCAGAAGAGTGTCGAGACAGCGTCGAAACAGGGTCGTGGGGCGAGTGTCTCCCAGGGCCCGACACGTGACAACCCTTGAGCTTCGGTACTTTTTGGGCCGCTCGAAATTCTTCCTGGTGGTCAAGGCTAAAATAGGTTGGAACATCATGCCCCTTGAGGGCCCTTTTCTTGGCCCTCCATTGCCACCCATCCGGGAGGGGCGGGCCACCCAAGACAGCCCTGGCATGGGTAGCAGTGCGCGCGCTGCCTCCCACCCAGGGAAGCAATGAACAACACAAATGTTTTAAGCTCGGGGATGGACAGACCCCCCTTTAGTAAAACGTGGTTTAGTGAAAACGACCTGAGGCCCAAACCTGGCGGGCGCAAGCCTGGAAAATAACGGCCACGGCGCCCTCTCGAGAACCGAAAACGGACAATTCACTAATCGACGTGTCACTATTGGGGTTCTGTCCACCCCCGATAAGCGTTCGACCATGGACCCTTTGTTGCCTATCTCTGCTGGGCCGTCTTCGGCAGTCTTCGGACGGTCTTCGAGCGGTCCTCGGCGATCTTCGGCGGTCTTCTGACGCTCTGCGGCGGTTTCCAGCGGTCTGTGGCGGTTTCTGGCGGTCTTCGGCGCGAAAGCTGGATGGCAGCATGTTGCAAGGGGTCCATGATCGAACATCGAGAACATGTTGTCCAAAACCGACAGCAGTCGCTGATGGACAGGCGGCCTTCTGCCTCAAATGCGCAACGTCCGCGGCGACACCGGCAGCGAGCGCTGTGCAAAAAGAACAGGAGCTGCTGTCTGCCTTCGTGCCCCATTCTCTCCGTACCCTTTTCTAACGCACCGAGCACCTGCTCGCCCGCTCTCATCATCGCCAGCAGGGCCGGATCGTCGGGTGCTGCAGGCAAGGAGCGGATGCCCAAGTCTCCGACGACCCCTAAGATCCGAGCGCTGCAACTTTTTGGGGGATGGACAGAACCCCCTTTAGCAAAACGTGGTTTAGTGAAAACGAGCTCGGGCCCGAACCTGGCGGCCGCAAGCCTGGAAAATGACGGCCGTGGCGCCCCCTCGAGAACCGAAAACGGACAATTCACTTATCGACATGTCAGTGTGGGGGTTCTGGCCACACCTGGCAATTTCGCCCTTCGTTTTTGCTGGGGAGCTGCGGGCCTCAGGGACATGTTTTTTCAGTTCGGGCAGTCATTCCTTCGTTCGGCATCCAGGGCTTGTTATCGGGCTCAGGGACCGACACGGATCCGGGATCGAAAACTGGCTCCGCGGAAGGGGGGTGGCCCATCTGGGGCCGCGCACCGCAGGTTCGGATCCGAGGACCTGGGCTTCGGGAGACGGCCCGCCCAAACAGTCCTGGCGGGCCGACGAGGAGAAAGAGGAGGAGGAGCAAGGGAGGAGGAGGAGGAGGAGGAGGAGGAGGAGGAGGAGGAGGAGGAGGAGCAGGATGAGGAGCAGGAGGAGGAGGAGGATGAGGAGGCCAGGGCGGTCTCAGCACACCAACCCTGCGGGCGCCTACGGAGGCGGCACCAGGGCGTTGAGACCGCGGGGAGGCCTGCTGAGGCCAGCTGGGGCTGCCAAGGGGGGGGGCTGCCCGAGGGCGACCCAAGGCCGAACCGGGCGGATGCGGCAGGTTCACGTCGCGATGACGTTAGCTTCAGCCCCTCCTCCTCCTCCTCCTCCTCTCCTCCTCCTCCTCCTTTCTCCTCCCGTCCCTCCTCCCCCTCCCCGTCCCCCCTCCTCCCCTCCTGCTCCTCCTCCCTCCTCCTCCTCCTCCTCCTCCTCCTCCTCCTCCCCTCCTCCGCCTCCTCCGCTCCTCCGCCTCCTCCGCCTCCTCCGCCTCCTCCGCCTCCTCCGCCTCCTCCGCCTCCTCCGCCTCCTCCTCCTCCCTCCTCCTCCTCCTCCGCCTCCGCCTCCGCCTCCGCCTCCGCCTCCGCCTCCGCCTCCGCCTCCGCCTCCGCCTCCGCCTCCGCCTCCGCCTCCGCCTCCACCTCCGCCTCCGCCTCCGCCTCCGCCTCCGCCTCCGCCTCCGCCTCCGCCTCCTCCTCCTCCTCCTCCTCCTCCTCCTCCTCCTCCTCAGCGTCAGCGTGGACCCTTCAGCCTGGCGCGGTCGCGGCTTTCGGACAACGCAGATCGTTCGACGTCGACCGATTCCAGGCCACTGGCGGAGTTCAAACTGGAACGCCCGCGTTGGGGTCGTCGCCTCGTCGACATGACACGAGCCTGCCGTAGCCCTGGGGAGGGGACATTTCACGCAGTCGTCTTCGAGCGTCGTGCAAGAGCTGTGCGATGCGATCCTTAGGATGTATGCAAGGCCCCCCCCCCTCTGGGCGTTCCGCCCCTGTCGCAGCACCCGAGATTGTTGGTCTGGTTGGAGCCCAGCATCGCGCCGGCAGGCCAGCGAGAGCAGGCCACGTGGGGGATCGCGCAGAAGCCCCAAAAGCCCGAACTGCCTTGGGCCAGGGGGGCTATGGACGCCAAGTTGTCCACGCTTGAGGGTCCGCCAGCGACTCGACGCACCCGTACGGTCGAGGTTCTCGACGCTGCGCGCGCGAGGCCGACGGGAGCGGAGGCGGGAAAGCGTGCTGTGCCAAACGGGCGTCACGGACGGGCATCCGCGGCAGCGATACCCCCCGGGGGGCACGTGCCTCGCGGGGCAGGCCCGCGGCTAATTAGCATTGGTGATGATGATGCGAGGTTCATTTTGAGGGGGGCACTTATAGCTCAGATGCCCCATGCGTTCCAGACCGAACGGGGCGTGTGCGGGAAAAGAGGATGCCAGCACAGCCGATACCTCAGGGCACGGCAGGAGGTGTACAACTGGGCCGGCCCGCGCAAGGAACACTCCGGTACTACTACTACTACTACTACTACTACTACTACTACTACTACTACTACTACTACTACTACTACTACTACTACTACTACTACTACTACACTGCTACTACTACTACTACTACTACTACTACTACTACTACTACTACTACTACTACTACTACTACTACTACTATCACTTATAACTACCACCACTACGACTACGACTACGACTACGACGACGGACTACTACGACGACGACGACGAACTACGACGACGACGAAGACGACGACGACGACGAGACGACGTACTACTACTACTACTACTACTACTATTACTACTACTACTACTACTACTACTCACTGACTACTAGCTACTACTACTAACTACTACTACTACTACTACTACTACTACTACTACTACTACTACTACTACACTACTACTACTACTACTCCTACTACTACTACTACTACTACTACTACTACTACTACTACTACTACTACTACTACTACTACCACTACTACTACTACTACTACTACTACTACTACTACGACACTACTACTACTACTACTACTGGTACTACTACTACTACTACTACTACTACTACTACTACTACTACTACTACTACTACTACTACTACTACTATCACTATTACTACCACCACTACGACTACGACTACGACTACTATTATAAATACGACGACGATGGCTACTACGACGACGACGACGACTACGACGACGACGAAGACGACGACGACGACGAAGACGACGAATACTTTTACTACTACTACTACTATTACTACTACTACTACTACTCCTACTACTACTACTACTACTACTACTACTACTACTACTACTACTACTACTACTACTACTACTACTACTACTACTACTACTACTACTACTACTACTACTACTACTACTACTACTACTACTACTACTACTACTACTACTACTACTACTACTACTACTACTACTACTACTACTACTACTACTACTACTACTACTACTACTACGACTACGACTACTACTACTACTACTACTACTACTACTACTACTACTACTACTACTACTACTACTACTACTACTACTACTACTACTACTACTACTACTACTACTACTACTACTACTACTACTACTACTACTACTACTACTACTACTACTACTACTACTACTACTACTACCACTACTACTACTACTACTACTACTACTACTACTACTACTACTACTACTACTACTACTACTACTACTACTACTACTACCACTGCGACTACTAATACGATTACTACGACTTTTACCACGAGTCCTGGCACTGCAAAGACACGGTTCGTACAATAATCGAATACAAATGCTGCGGTCCTACGGCTAGATAACTATACTACATCAGTGCACATAGTACGTTACGCGACAGTACTAGAATACTACATCCAGGCTTCGGTAACACGGTCAGAATGGGCGGGCCGAGCGGTCACTTACCGTCCTTGGGTGCGTGGCTGAAGTGGGATTCCGCGAAGCAGATTCTTGTTAATGCTGCTGTTGTTGTTGTTGTTGTTGGTTGTTGTTGAACTCTCACTTCTGAAGAGGGAATATTATTGATCCACCCCGCCCGGGGCACATTGGATTGTTTCTTTTGCAGTGCCCCTCCCAGGGCTCGCACCCTGCTTTTATCCAGGAAGGTATTGAGGCTCAAACTGTGTCGCTGGCACCCAGTTTACAACAAGAACAGCAACGTCTCCCGCCTGATACTTCCTCACAACATATGTAAAACCCGCGCTCCCGCCCGATATTTCCTCGCATTTTACTCAGGCATCGCGCTCTCGCTTGGGACCTCCTTGCAATGTATTCAGGAATCGCTCTCTCGGCGCGCTGGAGTCGCGTTCTCGCTGGAGACTCGCTTGCGTTTTACTTAAGAATAGCACCCTTGCGTTGAAATCTGCAGCAATTTGCTGAAGCGCCGCGCCACTGACACTCACGCCCCCAGGAGTCGCGCTCACGCTTACGAATCCCTCACATGATATTTGGGGACCGGAATCTCGCTGCCCTTCGTGGCCCCGTTGCAGCCCGTCGTGGCCTCCTCGCTGCCCTTCGTGAGTTTGTTGCAGCCCTTCGTGGCCCCGATGCTGCCCTTCGTGGCCAATTGCAGCCCTTCGTGCCCCCCCCCCCTTTGTTTCGTGGCCCCGTTGACGCCCTTCGTGGCCCCCTCGCTGCCCTTCGTGGCCCCGTTGCAGCCCCTCGTGGCCCCATGTGCATGCCCTTCGTGGCCCCGGTGCAGCCCTTCGTGGCCCCCTCGCTGTCCTTCGTGGCCCCGTTGCAGCCCGTCGTGGCCTCCTCGCTGCCCTTCGTGAGTTTGTTGCACCCCTTCGTGGCCCCGTTGCTGCCCTTCGTGGCCCCATTGCAGCCTTCGTGCCCCCCCCCCTCCCCTTGTTTCGTGGCCCCGTTGCCGCCCTTCTGTGGCCCCCTCGCTGCCCCTCGTGGCCCCGTTGCAACCCCTCGTGGCCCCATGTGCATGCCCTTCGTGGCCCCGTTGCAGCCCTTCGTGGCCCCCTCGCTGCCATTCGTGGCCCCGTTGCAGTCCTTCGTGGTCCCCCCCGCTTTATTTCGTGGCCCCGTAACAGCCCTCCGTGGCCCCCTCGCTGCCCCTCGTGGCCCCATCTGCATGCCCTTCGTGGCCCCCTCGCTGCTCTTCGTGGCCCCTTTGCAGCCCCTCGTGGCCCCCTCGCTGCCCTTCGTGGCCCCGTTGCAACCCTTCCGTGGCCCCCTCGCTGCCCTTCGTGGCCCCGTTGCAGCCCCTCGTGGCCCCCCGTGTGCATGCCCTTCGTGGCCCCGTTGCAGCCCTTCCGTGGCCCCCTTTGCTGCCATTCCTGGCCCCATATATGCATGCCCTTCGTGGCCCCGCTCGTTCGCGCCCGCCGTGGCTCCATATGCATGCCTTTCGTGGCCCCGATGTCGCCCTTCGTGGCCCCCTCGCTGCCCTTCGTGGCCCCGTTGCAGCCCCTCGTGGCCCCATGTGCATGCCCTTCAGTGGCCCCGCTGTCGCCTTTTGTGGCCCCCTCGCTGTCCTACGTGGCCCAGTGGCTTCCTTCAGTGGCCCCGTCGTCCCGCTGTCGCCCTTCGTGGCCTACTTCGTGCCCTTCGTGGCCCTGCTGTCGTTCTCTCTCGCTCTCGCTTTCGCTCGTCGTCGTCGTCGTCGTCGTCGTCGCCGCCGTCGTCGTCGTCGTCGTCGTCGTCGTCGTGATCGGTCCCCTGTCCGCCCCTCTTGGGGTCGGGTTGCCGCCGATCAGCGCTGCCGCTGGCCAGGCCGACGGTCCGCGGCCGCCCCGCCGCTTGCCAGGGCCTGGCCTGCGGGGAAGAAAGGTTAACCCCCCAACAAGGGCACGATCGAAGACGAGGAGGGCGGGTATCGAGGGTTTGGGAAATACGAGTTGACGGACACTCGAGCAGAATGATAGTTGCTGTTGCTGTTGCTGTTGCTGCTGCTGTTGCTGCTGTTGTTGTTGTTATTGTTGTTGCTGATCGTTGTTGTTTGGCGTCGTCCCCCCGCGACCCGGCCCGCAACCCACCCGCGACCCACCCGCGACCCACCCGCGACCCACCCCGCGACCCAAACTCCGCGACCCACCCCGCGACCCACCCGCGACCCACCCGCGACATGCGACCCAACCGCGACCCACCCGCGACAAACCCACGACCGCGCCTGCGACCCACCCGCGACCCACCCCGCGACCCACCCATATTGCTTTACCAAAAAATCGGCGCTGCGGCGGGCTAGTTGTATAACTTGTAAAAACACGGCGCCTGCGGCAGTCTTCTTCAGAGCCTCGCAGACTGCAAACGCCCCCGCCGCCCCCTCACTCGTATCCGCGACTGCGGGGTGCTACGTATCTGAATATTCCTACCACAGCCTTGGTCTGCATCGCTTTGTTTTGCATTGCGCTGCGCCACTTGTCGTGCCCCACATGGGTTGCACCGCCTAGATTGCACCGCATAGACTGCAGGAAACCGCTGTTTGGGCGTCCGCGCTGGCTGACACAATGAGAGATCGCGAATCGGACCCGACGACAATAACTGCAAACCGACTACTGCACACATCCCTTCCCAACCTCATGCTCGTGTCAGTGTGCTCCGCCACCGTGAGGAGGCACGAAATGGAATGTCGCCATGCCCCCTGGAACCCCCGCGTCGAGGATGGTTTACGGCGGCAGGGGGCCATACTTTTCAGAATTGCTGGGATCTCTCGACCTCCCTTGGATCTGTCGTGCCTTGTCCGAGGGTGTGGGGAGGTGGGTCCAGCGCAGACCCAAGAAACCCAAGCGCAGCTTCTAGCTAGTAGATTCATTACATGTTGGTCTTCGATGCTCCTTCTCCCCCGCCTCCTCCTTTACATTATCCTCCTTATCCTCCTCCTCCTCCTCCTCCTCGGCCTCCCGGAACCCTCTCCAACCTGTTTGAACAGCAAGCGGGCACTTGAGCAAGGTGCAGGTCTGCGCCAACACGGTCAACCGAGTCAGCGGCGCCGTCGCCGTCTTGGCCACGCAGCCCGCCACGCCTCCCTTCAGCAGCGCCTGCCAGTGGAGGGATGGCGACGCCCGACCGCACGCCCCCCCCCCCCCCACGCACACACACACACACACACACACACACACACCACACACACACCACACACACACACCACACACACCACACACACACACACACACAGCGCACTGGGACACAGCGTGCGCACGGCAGAAGCCCCCCTGCTGCCTGAGCGATCCGGCAACTCGGACGAGAGCCCCCCACCCCTCGGACGAGGAGGCGGAGGAGGATAAGGAGGAGGAGGCATAGGAGGAGGAGGCGGGGGAGGAAGATGAGGTAGTGTGTAGACATCAGGGGGAGGATGAGGACGAGCAGGGAGGAGGGGGGGGGAGGGGAGGAGGAGGAGGAGGCGGAGGAGGAGGAGGAGGCGCAGGAGGAGGAGCAGGAAGAAAGGGAGGATGATGAGGACGAGGCGGAGGAGGAGGAGGAGGAGGAGGAGGAGGGAGAAAGGAGAGAAGGAGGAGGAGTAGGAGGAATCAAGTCGGAGGGTCCCGCCTACTCCTCCCCTCGCCCCCACAACATAAGAATCACGTGTGGCACGTCTTAACAATTGGATTGGAACGCGCTCCCACATCGCAGACGGAAGGCGCTCGTCGCGCGCGGTCCCGCTTCGGACGACTCGGCGACGAGAGAAAACAACTGCGCGGGCCGCGCGTGCGGCGGGAGCGGCAACACTCACGATGGGCGCGGCGAAGGCGAAGCATGCGCCCCGCTTGCACAACATGGCCGTTGTCACTGGCAAACTGCGCGGCGTTTGGGCGAGGTCCGCATTTCGCTCGCTCTCGCCCGGCCCCGCTGCCGCTGTCGCTTCCATGCACTTCGGCAACCGAACCATGCGCTGCGCCCGCGCTGGAACGCCAATGCCGACCCAACTGCACACGGAACTTGGGCGAGGGCCACAAGTCGCCAACTCGCGCGGCCCCCAAACATTGGGGAGTGAGACAAATGCGCCGCGTCGTGACGGGAGCGCCAGTTTCAGGCAAAATCCCCGCTGCGCCGAGGCCAGAGCGACATTTCGTCCGCTCGTGCGTCGATGGATACGCGTGCGAAAGCGGTGCGCCGCGCCCGAGCGGAAGCCCAGCTCTCCAGAAACATGAACGCGGCGCTGAAGCGAAAACGACATTTCGAGGGCGCGCCGCTGGATGACCCCAAGGGGGGAGGGCCCCCCCCCCTTCCCGATCCGTCGTCGGGGACACCCCTCCTCCCCCCTTTTCCGATCCGTGGTCGGGGAACACCCCGCACCCCTTTCCCGATCCGTCGTCGGGGAGCCCCCCCCCGCCCCTTTCCCGATCCGTCGTCGGGGACCCCCCCCCCATCCCCCCCGTTCAAAAAGGGGTGGGCGGGGGTTCCGAGCCCCCCCCCCCCCTCCCCCCCTTTGGCCGCCAAATCCGAATCCCCCCCTCCCCCCCATTTCGCCACGGCGCCCCCGGTCTCTGGAACCCGACCCCTACCACCCCTAACACTAGTCCTCACCCCTACCCTAACCCCTAACCCTAACCCTAGCCCCAAAAAGTACTTACTACCCATAACGCACCACTCACTACCCACAGTTCACTACTCGCTTCTCACTACTCACTTCTCACTACGCGCTGCTCACTACTCACGACACGACTTACTTCTCACTACCCACGACTCACTACCCACGACGCACTACTCACTACTCCCTACGCACGACTCATTACTCACTACAGACTACTCACTACTTACTACCCACGACTCCATATTCATTACCCACTAAACGCAACCCGCTACCCAATACTCACTAATCACAAATCACTACTCACCACACACTAACCACTATCCGTTACTCACCACTCACTACTCACTGCCCACAACTCACTACTCACTATCCACTACTCGCTACTCGCTACTTCCCACTCCCTACACAATACTCACTACTCACTACGCACTACTCGCTACTCCCTACGCCCTACCCGCTACCCAATACGCAATGTTCACTACCCACTACTACTTTCTACTCACCACGCTCCCACTACTCATTACTCACTACTACCTATTTCCTACTCACTACTCCCAACTCGCTACTCACTACTCCCTACTCACTACTCACAACTCACGACTCACTACTCACTACTCGCTACTCCCTACTCGCTACGCAACACTTCCTACTCACTAGTGACTCCCGACTACTCCCCCCTCACGACCCACTACTCACAACGCCCTACCCGCTACTCACTACTCACTACTCGCTACTCCCTGCTCCTACTCGCGACTCGTTACTCGCTACTCACCACTCACTACTCACGACTCTCTACTTACTGCGCACTACTCACTACTCACTACTCACTCCTCGCTATTCGCTACTGTCTACTCCCTCATCCATACTCCCTGCTGACCACTCACTATGCACTACGCACTACACACTACTCACTCTTCCCTACTCACTACTCGCAATTTCTTACTCACTATTTCCGTAACACTACGCACTACACACCACTCACTACTCACTGATCTCTACGCGCTACCCACTACTACCGCGACCCATTACCCACTACTCACTACTCACCACTCACGACTCACTGCGCACTACTCACTACCAAATACCCACTACTCATCAATCGCTACTCAAAACACCCCACTCCCTACTTGCTACCAGAATGGCCCCCTCCCCAGCCCCCTGTTCGGCGCAAAGGGGGGAGGGGGGGAGGGTTCGACCCCCCCCACTTTTTCAGCGCCAAGTGGGGGAGGGGGGGGGGGTCGAAAATCTCACCCCCCCCTTCGAAGGGGGGGAGGGGGGGGGTTCTGCGAGCACCCCCCCCTTTTGTGTATTCAAGGCCATCCACTGGCGTGCTTCCCGACATTTCGGCATTGCGCGCGGGATATGCGTTCCGTCCCCCCGTTCCTGCCACGCATTTTGCAACATGTGCGGCAGAATGTCCACGTTGAGAAAAATACGGTCGACTTCATAGTGCTTGTTGGCAGGTACGATGGGACCACCCGGATCGGGTCGCTATCGGCTGGCCGGGTGGCAGAGTAGGGATATACATAAGAATAAGGAATAAAGATCGGAGGAAGGAGCACGCGGGCTTCTCGGGAGCCCTCCTCCTGGGGGGGCCAGGTCTGGCCGACACCGTCGCGCCCCTCCAGAACACAGGAACAATCGACACTGAAGCGGGAAATCGGATAGAATCGGGCTGTGCGTCGGAACGGGCTGCATCGACACGGAGTCAAAACCGAATCGGATCAGCTGCGCCAGGATGCACAGTAGCGCCATGCAGGCATCGGGCCGCGCCAGAACGCCGGGGCATCGGAATCGAGTCGGATCGGGCCGACAAGGATCGGTATCGAAGCGGATCGATATCGAATCGGATCGATCTCGGGTCGGATCGGGCCAACAAGGACCGGTATCGAATCGGGTCGATCGGATCGACCTGGGCACTGGATCGACGGCCCCAGCGCCCCGAATGTTCGGGGGAATGGCCGGCATTCCCGGCGGCGCGGCCATGCGAGCAGTTGCGGCTGGCCTGCCCCCCCAATCTCGAGACATTGATGTTCAACCGCCCTCTCGGCTGCAAAAGGTCCGTCGAGATTTGCTTGGCCAACTAGCCTGCCGGCGTCTCAGAATTACTCCAGCTGCTGCAGCTAAGCTTTCGAAGAAGCTCTCCGAGTCACCTCCCCTCCTTCGAGACGATGGGATTGTCGTCCGACCACCAGCTTCGCGAGCTCCACGACGCCGCCGCCCCCATCTCTCCATTCAGTCGTTGTGCTAGGAGGAGGAAGAGGGGTAGGAGGAGGAGGAGGAGGAGGAGGAGGAGGAGGAGGAGAATAAGGAGACGACGTACCTGAAGTAGGAAGGGAAGGAGGAGGAGGAGGAGGAGGCCATAAGGAACGCTGAATAAAGGACGAGGGGGCCATTCTGGCCACGGCGAGCCTCGGCCACGGATGGGTTCCCCGACCCAGGTCCAGCACAGCGCTTCGTGGCCCCATCGGGAGCTCGATCGAAGGCCACCCTCGCGGTGTCCGCCTGCGTGTCCCCCGCCCAGCGCATGGCCCCATGGAGAGCTCCACCGAAGGCTCCGGTGGCAGTGTCTGCATGCGTGTCCCCCACCCAGTACAACGTTTCGTTGACCGTCGGGAGCTCCACGGAAGGCCCCAGTGGCAGTGTCCGCATGCGTTTCCTCCCCCAGTACAGCGCTTCATGGTCCCATAGGGAGCTCCACCGAAGGCTTCATGGCGCCGTCCGCATGCGCCTCCCCTGCCCGATACAACGTTTCGTGGCCCCACAGGGAGATCCAACGAAGGTCCCAGTGGCGGTTCACGCATGCGCTTCCCCCACCTAGTTCAACGATTCGTGGCCTCATAAGGACTTCCACCGAAGGCCCCAATGCCGGTGTCCGCACTCGTTTACCCCACACAGTATAACGCTTCGTGGCCCCATAGGAGGCCCCACCGACGGCCCCAGTGGTGGTGTCCGCATGCGTCGCCCCCAACCAGCACAGCGTTGCGTGGCCCCATAGGGAGCTCTACCGAAAGTCCCAGTGGCTGTGTCCGCATTCTTCTCCCCCACCCAGTTCAGCGCTTCGTGACCCCATCGGGAGCTTCACCGAAGGCCCCAGTGGCGGTGGCTGTATGCGTTTCCCCCACCCATTGCAACGCTTCGTGGCCCCATGAGGAGCTCCACCGACGGCCCAAATGGCGGTGCTCGCATGCGTGTCCCTCACCCAGTGGCCAAGTGGACGTGGTCCCATAGGGAGCTCCACCGAAGGCCCCAGTGTCGGTGTTTGCATGCGCTCCCCCCACACAGTACAGCGCTTCGTGGCCCAATAGGGAGCTCCACCGAAGGCCCCAGTTTCGCCGTTTGCATGCGTCTCTCCCACCTAATACAACTATTTGTGGTCCCATTGGGAGCTCCACCGAAGGCTCTACTGGCGGCGTGCACATGCGTGCCCCCTGCACAGTACAGCGTTTCGTGGCCCCATAGGGAGCTCCACCGAAGGCCCCAATGGCGGTGTTCGCATGCGTTTCCCCTACCCGCTAAAGCGTTTCGTGTCCCCATAGGGAGCTCCACCGAAAGCCCCACTGGCGGCCCCGCCACATTGTGGCGCCCCCATCACACGATTCGCGGCCCCATCATGGGTCCCGCCTAAAGCTCCAGCGGCAGCACACCCTTCGCATGCTTCATGGCTTCATGAGGAGATCCCCGAAGGCGATACCCGCAACGACGGTACCCACAACTGCGTATGCCTGGGTACTTCTCCAAGATAATGTTTGGCAAGGCTACGGTTCCCCCTCGGGATGCGTCCTGGCCAGGGCGTCATGGGGTATGCAGCCATGGCGACGAGAAGCCTCCCAGAGGGCTCCGAGAAAGACAACGAGCGCTCCTGAAACCTCGACCCTCGACCTCGGATCCTCTGCCTCATGGCGGAATCTAGCTCGCTCTTCGCTCAGGGCCCCGTAAACAGGGACTTTGACAGACAGGAGCGCTGATGCTGACGCAACTGTGGGCCAAGACAGCCTCACCTTTTCAGTCTCTCCCGCTGGAGGACTTCCAAATAGGGTCCGAATTGATGGACTCGGAGCTTGCATCGCGCCGCGTTGCTGATACTTCGCCGATGCAGCGCCGAAGCGTCGGCGATGTATCGGCGACGTCGGCGATGCATCGGCGCCGTCGACGTGAAGGCAAATTGAGCCGAATATGCGGCGCGATCCTCCAGCCCCGTGAGGCAGGGAGGCCGGCGAAGTCCTGGTCTTCGAAGGCGCGCCCCGGGGGAGAAGGCAAAGAGGGCCCCGAGTCGCCGGCAGCGTCAGGAGTGCGGCCGCGCGCTGCCGCCGAGCAAGAGAGCTGCCTCGCATGGGGCAGCCGTGCCACGACCCTGGCGAACAGGCCCCCAGGATGACCAGAGCCACGGCGAAGCCAGGAGGAGAGGAGAAGAGAGGAGGAGGCGGAGGAGGAGGAGGAGGAGGCGGAGGAGGCGGAGGAGGCGGAGGAGGAGGAAGAGGAGGGAGGCAAAGGGGGCCCGGCTCCTCAGAAGGCCCAGAAAGACTCTCCGGGAGGCCGGAGGCCTGCCGAGCCTTCTGAGAGGGTCCGCCCCCTCTGCCGTCGCCCCCCGGGGCGCGCCGCCGACGTCTGCAGAATCCTGGTCGCCCGGGGGGCCCGACGCGCTCCCCATTTGGGCGTGGCTTAATGGGGGGGTCACAAATGGGGGGGTCAGAAAAGGTCCCCTTTCGTGCCCCTTTCGGGCCCCTCCAGAGCCCCAGGGGACTCGTTCAGGTACCGTTTGGGTACCTTTTCGGACCACCCTCGCCGCCCCCCCATTTATGACCCCCCCATTACGCAGCGCCCAACCCATGGGCGAACTGTCCCTTCCGGGATCCAGTCTCGCTGCTCTCGGGGCACAACGCTGGGCCTCAGGGGTCGAGGTCGGAGGCAAAAACGCCTGGATGGAGGAACGCGTACGGTCGACGTTGGACAGATAGCGTGCAACATCCGTCTCCCAAGAGCACGCTATTGCGATCCCCTCGCGAGAGCGCTTTTCCGTGCAGGGCTTCTTCGGTACACGCTACGGTGAGGGTATTGGATAAAGGGGACCATTGGATAAGGAATCCAGGATCTGGAAGCCAGTAGAACCCCAGTCGTGGATCGCCCATGGATATTACCGCCACCCTCATCAGATAAGGAATCCCCCAGGGTCTGATAACAGTGGATATGTCGACCCCTATCCCAGGCTTTGGGAGGTTTTCGAATGGACAAAAAAGTTGGGGCCCAACCCTGGGATATACGACGGGGGCGCGTCCATCCTCGAGAGGGTTTGTGCGAATAGCCCCCTTGGGGTGTATCCCAGGGTCTCCCTCCTTTTCTGAGCGGCTTTATTTTTCGTCGAAAAGTCGGGGGTCGGGGGAGAAAAATCGGCTGCGATCTGAAGCCTCCTGGGCACATTCCTTAACCAACGCCCCCGTGGTGGGGGATGGCGTGAAATAGACGGGCTGGGGGCGCCACATGGCATGTCACTTTCCAACGCCAACCGTTAGAGGCGGCCAAGGGGTCTGAGCTGGACGGGCCCCAAGAAAACTGGCCAAAACAGGAAAAGAAGCAAATCCGCTCAAAATCGGTCCCTGGACCCCTCCTAGGGTCCATATGGTGCAGCCTTCCTCCGGATCTGTTTATTCGACGGCCCTGGGGCCCGAAAGTGGCCGCTGGAGACCGAGAAAGGCAAAGAAGCTTCCCGAACCCAGAGCCGCGAACCTCGGAGGAGGAGGAAGAGGACTCCCCCCTCCCTGCCCGCCGGACCCAATACACTGGGCAACCTCCTGAGGACCCCCCGCCGGCTCCAAGCCAACCGCACCGTCGGAGAGCTGGGCCGCTGCAGAGTCCCAGCCTCCCGGGGCCCCGACCCGCCCCCGGACCACCACGGGGTCCGGCAGGCTCAGGGCCGCTGGCGCCGCCGCGGCCACCATCGGCCTGCCGCGCCCGCCGCGGGCCGCCTGCCCCGGGCACTCCGCCCCGATGCCGGCGCTGAGTCCCTCTGAGCCCCCGAGGCGGCAGCGGGCGGAGCTCCTCCTCGCCGCTGCCGCCGCCGCGGCCGCCGCGGGCGCGGCCGATGTCGCGGTCGCGGTCACAGAAGCCGCGGCCGTCCCGGTCGAGGCCGCCGTCGCCGCCGTCGTCGCGCCGCACCGTCGTCGCCGCCGTTGTCGCCCTGCCTCGCCTTGGTCCTCGTCCGGGGAGAAGGGAGGGGGGAGAGGATGAGGAGGATGATGAGGAGAAGAAGGGGGAGGAGGAGGAGGAGGAGGAGGAGGAGGAGGAGGAGGAGGACCAGTGCAAACGCAAGACTCATCAACGATGTTGGAATACACCCTCCCTCCGAGCTCCCTCTTCACAGGCCCCTTACAAGGGTTCATTTCCGCTGAAGGAAATGCGCCGTTGGGGGAAAACCGTGTGGAAATCTTGACGCGTGCCCAAACACCATTCCAAGGATCTCGACGCCACGAGTCGACCTGACTGTTGCGCCTTGGCGATCCCGAGCCGTTCCAAAACACCATTCCTGGGATGCCAACACCGCAATCAACGTAAGTGTCTCATCCCCGCTCCAAAACACCATTCCTGGAATGCTAACCTTTAGAATCCGTGGAACTCTTGCCATTTCTTACAACGAGTGTGCGGGGCGCTCATGCGAGAGCCACATTTTGGAAAAGAGCCGCCCTCAATCCGTTGAACTCTTGCCATGCTTGAAACGAGTGTGCGGGGCGCTAAAATGAGAGCCACATTTTGAAAACGAGCCGCCCTCAATACGTGAAGCTCCTGCACATGTTTTGGCAAGTGTGCGCGGCGCTGAAGCTAGAACCACACTTTGGACGCGACCCGCCCTGCATATGTGAAACTGCTGTCCGTTTTCAAGATGCTGGCTCATAAGTGGAAAAGACGTCTCAGGCGAAACGCCCGGCCTGCCCTTCCGACTGGCCTCGGGGTGTGACAGGGGGGAGTTATGCACGGAGAATGAGGAGGAGGAAGAGGAGGAAGAGGAGGAGGAGGAGGAGAAGGAGGAGGAGGAGGGGAGGAAGAAAGCAAAATGCCGACGCAAAAGGTCTGGGCAACGCAAAAAGGAGGAGAAGGAGGAGGAGGATGTGGACCTGGCGATGGGCGGCGGCCAAGGAGAAGGGCCCCAGGCGTTGGGCGGCGCTCGCCGTCGACGCCCTCTTCGTCGTGTTCGACGCCCTCTTCGTCCTGTTCGTCGTGTTCGACGCCCTCCCAGGGACGGTGGGGGCATAGGATAAGGAAACATTGGATAAGGAATCCATGGACTGGAAGCCAGTGAAAAACCAATCTTGGATTGGCCATGGATATCACCGCCGCCCTCGTCAGATAAGGAACCCTCCAGGGTCTGAAGCCTCCTAGGCACATTCCTTAACGAACGCCCCTATCGTATGCTTTTCTGTAGGCCCTGGCTGGCAGACACCCCCCTGGGAGCAGCCGTTGTTTCAGACAGCAAGCCACCCCCAGAGGAGCCGCCTTGTTTTAGGGGCGACGGGGAAGAGGAGGACGGGGGGTGGGAGAAGGCGGGGGGGGAGGATGGGAGGAATGCGTGTGTGTGTGTGTGTGTGTGTGTGTGTGTGTGTGTGTGTGTGTGTGTGTGTGTGTGTGTGTGTGTGTCTGTGTGTGTGTGTGTGTGTGTGTGTGTGTCTGTGTGTGTGTGTGTGTGTGTGTGTGTGTCTGTGTCTGTGTCTGTGTCTGTGTCTGTGCCTGTGTCTGTGCCTGTGTCTGTGTCTGTGTGCGTGTGTGCGTGCGTCGGTCACTGAAAGCCAAGGCGGTTGGACGCGCGCTTCGCTGTTTTCGACCTTCTTTGTCTCGTCGCCGCGCGCGAGGCCGCAACGCCAAAAACTGTGCGTGACAGAAGGAGGTGGAAGAGGAAAACGAAGAGGCGGACGTGGGAGGAGGACGAGAGGGAAACATACATTTCGGGATGACGCCTCGTGGTGCGATGTGCACACATACAGGTGTATGTGTGCATGCATGTATGCATTTATGGGTGTATGGAAACACGCATGGGTACAGACGGAACTGTGTATGCACACAAACTTATCTTTATGTAGACATGACGACAGGAGACAGAGAGATAAACAACAAACAACAAGAGAGAACCAGTAAGAGAAAAATAAAGAGAGAGAGAGAGAGAGGTAGACCAAACATTTTCCAAACAGACCAAAAGATCAACACACAAATAAACAACAAACACCAAGAGAAGGAGGGGGTGAGGAAGGGGAGGGCGAGGGCATGCATGATTCTCCAAACAATGCTTGCACTTAGGGGGTTCTTGCTCTTCTTTTAAGGAACTCGCCCTGAAGGTCGGTCTGGCGGCTCCGTGCTCGCCGTCGCCGACTCGTCGCCGCCCGTCGTTTGGGCCTGATTGTCGGTCTGGCGGTTACGTTGTCGCCGTCGCCGCCCCGTCGCCTCGTCGTCTCCGCCCGTCGTCTCGGCCTGATTGCCGGTATGGCGGCTCTGTTGTCGCCGTCGCCCCGAAGCCGCGTCGACGCGACTTTGCATTGCTCAACGTTGCTTTGCATTGCTTTGTGCTGTTTCGCGTTGCTTCGCATTGCTTTGCATTGCTTTACGCTGCTGCGTTGCATTGCGTTGTTATGTTTTTTGCTTGCGTCGCTTCACATCGCATTGCTTCGCCTAGCTTCGAATTGGCCAATCGCAACACACATATTGAACACCGTAGACCGTCTCGCAGAGACTGCACCGCATAGATCGCACAGCGTGTATTGCACCACGTAGATCGCATCGCATATATTGCACCACGTAGAGTGCCCACATGGATTGTACCACTTCTATTGCACACCACATACTGCACCACACTGATTGGACAACCTTTATCGCACAACCACTATTGCACAACAGTGATTGCTTTCTTGAAAAATGGAGTTTTACCACCCACCCACCCCTCGGGGTTAAAGACTCATTTTTCGTGTTTCAAGTTACATCCGGTTCTGCCCCATCGTCCATCCGAACTGCGAACTCATACTATCCCAACCAAGCCGGTATCGCTCCCACCCCGCCATGCCCTGCAAAAGAAAATGCGCGCATACTCGTTTATCAAAAACCAGAGGTTCCAGAAACACTTTGCAAAGCAGGGGACGAATTGCGCACGGGCGCGTCGTCGCGCACGCATGCCAGAATCCTTCAAAAGCCGTGGATTCCAGAAAGATTACAACATCGAATGTCCGAAAACATGTAAAAAACAAATGGTTTCGGAACGCGGATTTTCAAACACAAACGAAACGAATGCGAACGCGCTCTTGCGAATTTTAGACAACCAAGAGTTCCGACAATTTCCAAAACGTGCTACCAAACGGGCTTCGCGCGCGCATGTCAAACTCGTTCGCGCGTTTTTGCGCGCGTGCTGGGGTGGTACGGTCCCTGTCCAGTTAAACCATGCGAGCAACCATCGCGCGTCTGCCGCGCGCGCATTTCGAATTCCTTCCAACACCTTCATCACCTACGCGATGACGCCGTCATCGTCGTCGGCGTGGTCAGCATCGGCGCCGTCACTGGCCGTGCCCTCGTCGCTGCCATCATCGTCACAAGCATGGCTACTACCATCATCATCATCATCATCATCATCATCATCATCATCATCATCATCATCATCATCATCATCATCATCATCATCGTGTCTACAGTGGTCGACGTTGCCATCACACCGCGCCCGCCCAAGTCGCCGACTCGCACTCAATTGCCCGATGGGATGTGCCGAGCGGCCAACACCACCGCGGCCGCGTCGGTCGCGCCGAACTACCTGGCCGCTGTGCGCGCGCATGCGCGGCCGCAGAGACGCACCAGCCAGCGCCAAGCACTCATCGCAATCACCGCCGCATGAGGTTTGCAAACCAAGTTGCGGGTGGGTGGGTTGGTGGGATGTTTGCGCGAGCAATGGAATGGACAACTCAACGCGAACAGAGATGAATCCTCCTTTGTTAAAAGAGAATCGACTCTACCCCCCCCCCGCGTTACAGGTACCCCTTTCGGGTATGTAAATCAACAAGTATGTTGACCACATGTCCATCCGAAATATGAAATCGCAATATCCCATGCCAGCTGGTATCCCCCCCCTGAGGTTCCTTGAAAAAAAACACGATGCGGTGACATTTTTTGGAAGTGCGCACGCGCGCGTCGTCGCGCGCGGCTGCCGAAATCCTTCAAAAACCTCCCGTGCTGGAAGGATTTCGCAATCGAGTTTCCAAACATCGTACAAAAACGCAGGGTTTCGCAACACTGATGTGCTAAAAAAGCTTCCGCGCGAGCTCTTGCGAAATCTTAACAAAACCATTGTTTTTAAAGAACAAAAAAAATATGTTCACATAATGCTATTAAGCGGGCTTCGCGCGCGCGCAGGTCGGAATCTGTCGAACGCCCTTGCGCGTGTGCCGTCGCGAGAATCCTTTGGAAAAAAAGGAACGAGGTGCAGACGCGCGCGTCGTCGCGCGCGTATGCCGAAATCCTTCAAAACCCATCGGTTCCTGAAGAAGTTCAATATCGCGTGTCCAAAAAAACCTACAAAAACCCAAGGTTTCGCAACACGAATTTTCAACAAAAGCGTGCGCGCGCGCTCTTGCGTCGTCGGCGTCTTCCTTCCTCCCTCGTCGTTGTCGTCGTCGGTGTCGCCATCCTTCCTCCTTCTTCGTTGTTCGCGTCGTCGCCGTCCTCCCTCCTCCCTCGTCGTTGTCGTCGTTGTCGTCGTGGTCGCCGTCGTCGTCCACCCTCCTCCCTCGTCGTCGTCTTCGTTGGCGACGTCGTTGTCATCGTCGTCGTCGTCGTCTTCGTTGTCTTCGTCGTCGTCGTCGTCGGCGTCGTCGTCGTCGGCGTCATCGTCGTCGTCGTTGCCATCGTCGTCGTCGTCGGCGTCGTCGTCGTCGGTGTCGTCGTCGTCGTGGTCGCTGTCGTCGCCGAAGTCGTTGGAGAC